TATAAATGTTTATCTCCTTGTTTGACAGCCACCCAAACCAACCAGGTAAAATACCATTGTAATTTTCATTTTAGATTTTAAAATATTATTTAGAATTAAATTTTTGCAAAGAAATATTTTCTCGATCTCCCTAAGTAATGATGAAATTTAGGATTATGCGATATGGCAGAGTCGAATTAAAGCTTTGACAAATAAGGATATTATTTTATTTCATTTTCATTTTATTTTTTTGTGTAAGCAAGATGATATATTAGGGAGAATTAAGGGTTCTCCAACCTGTTTACACAATAAAACGGAATAGCCCGACAAAAGAAAGAGATTATCCAAATTATTTTTACATTGTGTCATTTCGCATACACTATACAAAAAGTTAGATAATGTAACGACTTTAACTCTGCAATTAATAGTGTTTCATTATAAGCCATTTTTTATTGACACCATTTCTCTTTTAAACTCTATTCAGATGTTATATGAATTGGTGGAATTATGATATGGTACGATACCTTGTTGGGGACTAGATACCTTAGAATTATAGAAATTGAGGTTATGGGGGTGTTCGGCTAATTATGTAGAAACATATGGATGTGTAGAATAATATGGATTATTATTATTATTATATTATTAGGATACTTATTATTATTTTATAATTAATAATTAAGTCATTATTTATTTGAGATAGTTATTATTATTATTATTATTATTAGATTATAAGAAGTGAGGTTGGGAGAATGAGTCAGTACGTAGAAACAGAGAAAGAGAAACGTAGAAGAGAGAAGAGGAGAAAGAGGACTAGGAAGCTATGGCAAGAAGTTCATCCGTAGGAATCAAGAATCAACATAGAATCTAAGGTAAGAGGGGATTCTAACTCTATAAGGAACTGCCTAATGATGGGGTATGGTAGAATTTATATTGTATAATCGTATATTTTGATTTCTCCATATTTGATTGTTTTTGGGGTTTGTTCCCGTTGATGGAATTTTGGTGATTTAATGTGTTTGGGTGTGATTGAATGATATGAATTGGCTAGAATTGGTAGATAAATATTGGTGAATAATTAACCTGTTAAAAAGATGAATTTTGATGTAAAAATTGTGATTTGTGGATGTGGAAACGTGGAATGTCATAACCTAAAAGTTACGAATTGTTACTGTTATCGCAGGATAACCGGTTATCCAAAATATGGTAACCGGTTACCATATCAATGGTTGGGACGAGGTTTAGATACTGTCATGCGGTAACTGGTTCCTATAAGTGGGTAACCGGTTACCGCGAGAGATTTTTGAAAAGTAACGAGGCTACTGTCTTACGGTAACCGATTTCCATAACTGGATAACCGGTTACCACTGCTAATGACAACATTATTTTTGAAAAACTTCTAAAACTCATACTTTTGCCTCGGGTGTCCGTTTGACGCGCCGTTTAGACCATGGGAAAGGTAAAATAATTTTCTACTTTATAAAAAAAAATTATAATGTAGTAGTTAATTATTTCATCAATATTGTTACCGATTCGTAAGTGTGTTTTTATTCGTATGCCATGAATTATGTTGTGGTCCTTTGTGATGATTATTTTGATTGTGTGACACGAGTTATATGATGATGATGACGAATGGCATGTATTGACGAAATTGTGATGAATAATAGTGATGAATGCGAAGTATATTGTTGCATGATAGTGTCTCATGCATTCATAAAGCGAAGGCCTGTATTGGCGAGTAAAGTTGATTGCCCTAAATTGGTATTATTCCAAATAGGGTTCTACCCTGATTGGTACTACATGCATTGCATCAGTGTCAGTCCTTTGCATCATATTATAATTGATAAACCGATGGGTGAAGATTGATGATGGTGTGTATTATATTATGATGTATGTTATGTGTTGATTATGTGCTTGAATCTTACCTGTTTACTATTATTATGCTTTCTCTTACATTGTTATGATATCTCACCCTTTATGTTTGAATGTTACCTCCACATGAATAACATGCAGATGATCCGAAGTAGCTAGAGATCGAAGGTTAGTTGAGGAGTTCCTTCATTTACGTAGATTGAGTCGGTGTATGCTCTGATACATAACACTTTGGGGTTTCACGTGATTTGTTTTGTTATGATTAGGAGTTAACATGTATTACTTTTTTATTTGAATTGTCTTATGATTATGCTGATGTGTGAAGGATAATAATTATAACTCCGGTTGGAGGATCAAGATGACTATTTATTGATGTTTTCCGTTGTGAATAAGTGCATTAAAGTTTAAGACTTTTGATTATACGATTTTGTATTGAGTATCCTAATTTGAGCATGTATGATTGGCGAAATATGTGACATCCTATTTGATTGATGTTTATTTAAAAATTAAATTACTCTGATTATTATATAGATTACCGACGGAGAAATAGGGTGTTAAAAAAGGTAGTAAAAAACATTCTCATATTTTTATAATATTTTTGGGTTAAATATATTTTTGTTCCTTATAAGTTTACCAAATTTTATTTTTGATCCCTATAAAAATGATATGTTTTAGTCATTGGAAAATTATTATACACGTAGTTTTAGTCTCAACCATTTAACCAATCTATATTTTGAATGATTATTTTGGAGACATGTTTAGAACGTTGTAAAAAATTCCTCAAAAAAAAAAAGAATTCAAAATTCGATTTCTAAATTAAAATTTTCATTACTTTTATCATTATCTTTAGAAATTTTAAAAATTCATATTTAATTCTTTTCAATTTAAAAAATTCTAAAATTTAATAAAGAAACTTAGTATAACATTTTAAATATACATGAAAAAAATTATTTAAAAATTTATAAATTTAACGATAATTAAACAATTTTAAAAAAGATGTCTTACGCTTGTTCTAAACTCAGGCCCTGGTCATAATGTTGTTTAGTAAATGTTTTCTAGAAAAAGAGAAAAAAAAACAAGTCGCATACAAATACAAACACAACAAATCTGTTGATACCAAAATTTCAATTGAAGGTACAGTTCGTTTAAAAGATTAGTTTGGAAATTAAAATAGCAACAGATAGAAAAGGACAAGCCAAAAAACCAGCATACAGTTATATTGAAATCAACATACATACAATTATCAAGATTGGTATTTTTATTGAAAAATTCATGTTAAAGCATCATGAATGTACATAAACATAGATATTGAGATCAACAAGCTTAGAAAACATACTATAAAGAACATACCACAAATGTCATATGTAAATAAAAAGACAAACTTCTCATAACAGCTCGGTTTTTTGGTTTATGTGTGTTTAACTTTATGAAACCAAAATTCCCAAAAGGAATAACTTTCATTTCTCACTTTTAAATAACTAACTTCCTAGTTTTGATTCCAAGTTACATCAATGTTTACTTTTTCTAAAGAAAAATAAGGTGCACCAACTTCTCCTTGATTTGAAGTGGTGCTTTAATGAATTGTTCTGCAGCAATCATGGGGAATACTTATGCACTGCAATGTGAACTCATTGGTGTGTAATTATTGAAATAGAGGTACCTTCTCAGAAGGTTGGTTTAAGAATTCACATCCAAGCACCATAAGGTTTGAGAGAAAACTGACACAAGAGACATGACATTGTGATTCTTCACTAAACAATGGCTATGCATGATAACGATAACTACAAAGACCTAATTAAAGAAGAAAACAAACCATACTATAAATTAAAAATAAATCCTAACGAAACATCTAGGATACTCTAACATAGATGATATGATGCTGTTTAACCTGCATGTGAAGGAATTGCGAGAAAGGCAGTCAAAGCATTATACCAAACTCAGAGTTGGTTGAATCCAAAACAGACTAGATCATCAATGTTGTACATAGACAGTGGGAATCTAAAATAGAACATGAACAAAAAACAATTTCACCAATAAAAAGGAGTGATCCAAGGCAAAAACCTGAAATTGAGGGATTGTAAAGCACAAGGTGACACCTTTTGATCAATTTTAGCAGTTTTAATCACCATGCTTATGTGGGTGAACTGCAACTTTTAGTGGGTTGAAGAAGTCCAAACAAGGCTAGATTAAATATTAATGAATGACATAAAAATGTTCTCATCATATATTCTTAACAATAGTCACATTTAATTGTCTCAGAAAGAAAGAAAAATGCGAATTTGCAAGCAAGAGGGAAACAAGTTGGTACCTAATAATACCTCGTCTAAAATGAATGTTTACAAGACCTCATCAGCCCTACATTTTGAAAACAACAGAACAAATTATGTATCGCATATATAGGTAATTGGATCTTCTCCGACCCAACCCACATGAAGAAGAGGGTGAACTGGGTAATCCATTATGCTAATGTGAGTTAGTATTGTTGGAAATTCACTAAAATCTATAATGAATTTCTACCAATCTTGATGAATAAGATTGATATCACCACACAATGACAATGAATTATATGAAAAGAAAAAAAAGAAGACAATAATTTTCTGCAGAGTTTCTCTCTGCCCACAAACCGTGAAAAACTTTATTATTCACTTGCAACGGTAAATTCTATGAATACAATGAATTGACTTGATTACAAAAATACGGGTTACTCCCTCTATTTATAGATTCAGATTAGCTTGCTCCTAAGCCAAAGCCCAAAACTATGAAAGCCCAAAATATCTATTTTGGAACTAAATCAAATATATCTATTTTAGACCTAAATCAAATCTTATCTATTCTATATCTAAAACAAATTTGTGTGTAACAAACTGTTTTCACACTTCTAAATCAAATCAATTTTTTCCGATATTCTCTTGTCTTTGTCGAGCAAACTGCTTCGACACAAGAAATTGTACTTTTAACACGCCACTTAATTCATTGTGTCTAAGCTATCTATATTCATCATAGCACTTAGTCTTCTGAACACTTCGACCTGCACACTCTTCGTCATGATGTCTACAATCTGGTTCTCAATTCTACAGTGTTCCATCTTCATCTTCCCTTCTACTACCTGCTCTCGAAGATAGTGGAACCTCATTTCGATGTGCTTGCTTCGATCATGTGCTAGCTGATATGCTGTCGATCTTGATGGTAATTGCTCTATGATCTTTACCTGTGATTTCTTCAACCAACTTCACCATCCATGTTGCTTGACATGCACAAAGAGAAGAAGCTATGTATTCTGTTTCACATGATGATAATGCCATTACTGGTTCCTTTCTCGAACTCCAAACAACTGGTGAACCACCTAACATAAACACATACCCTGATGTAGATTTTTTATCCTCAGCATCACTACACCTTGAATCAATGTATTCCACTAACTTGCATTCTTTTCCTTTATCAGTTGCAGGAACTATAATGCCATAGTCGAGAATTCCTTTCAAATACCTCAATATCCTCTTCGCCGCTGCTAGGTGTGATACCTTTGACTTTTGCATGAATTTACTTATGATACCTACACTGTATGCTAAGTCAGGTCTCATATGACAAAGGTATCCCAATGATCCAATACGTCTTCTATATTGGGTTGGGTCAACGTCATCTTCTTTTGAATCTTTCGACAGTTGCAATCTTAGTTTTGTAGGTGTCGAAGTCGAGTTTCATTCTTTCATCTCAAATCTCTTGAGAACTTCTCCTGCGTATCTTCTTTGATGCATCATCAAACCTCTACTTCTCTTGTAGAATTCGATGCCAAGGAAGTATGAAATATCACCCAGATTCCACATTTCGAATTCCTTGTTGAGATCACCTTTGAAGTCTTCAATCTCCTTCTTGTAGCTATCTGTTATTAACAAGTCATCGACATATAGACATAGTATAAACAATTCACTATTGCTTCTTCTTACATATACTCCATGTTCAGTTGTACACTTCACAAATTCCTTCTCCCTTAGGAAACTATCAATCTTCTTATTCCAAGCTCTTGGAGCTTGTTTGAGTCCATACTTATGCATCATGCACACCTTTCTCTCTTCTCCATGTTTCACAAACCCAACTGGTTGTTTAACATAAACCTCTTTGTCCAAGGGTCCATTCAGGAATGCACACTTCACGTCCATCTGACATATGTGTCAACTATTTATTTCTGCAAGACCAACAACAAACCTGATTGTTTCGATTCTAGCCACGGGTGTAAAAACTTCATTAAAGTCTATTCCTTCTTTATGGAGAAATCCTTTCGCCACGAGCCTTGCTTTGTGTCGAGTTACTTCCCCTTTGGGATTCATCTTCACTTTGTATATCCACTTGAAATCAATTGCGTTTTTTCCTTGAGGAAATTCAACAAGTGACCAAGTATTGTTGTCTTCGATGAAGTTCACTTCTTCGTTCATTGCTTTCACCCACTTTGAATCCTTCAATACTTCAGCTGCGTTGACTGGTTCGACATCTGCATAGAAATCATAATTTACCAGCTCACCTTTGTTATTAACCACATCATTTGATGTAATCACACAATCTTACAACCTTGCAGGCATGTGTCTTGTACTCTAAGGTCTTCTAGTACTTGGTTGATTTATAATTGTTGGTTCCTCTTGTCGAACTTCTCTTTCGACTTGAGTTTCTGATTCTTCAAGCAAGATTCTCACTGAATCTTTCTTGACATTTTTAGTCCAATCCCATTCCTTAAGCTCATCTATGATCACATCCCTACTGATCACAATCTGCTTGTTCACTGGGTCGAATAACTTGTAACCTCCTCTCAAATGATATCCTACTAGGAGCATCTGACTTGACTTATCATCAAGTTTTCTTCTCAACTAATCTAGCACATGTCTGTGTGTAATATATCCAAATACTTTCAGGTCACTCAAGCTAGGCTTCACACCAGACCACCATTCTTCTAGAGTAATTCTTTCTAGCTTCTTCGTCGGACATCTGTTCAATATGTATGTTGTAGTCGACACAGCTTCACCCCAAAACTCTTTAGGTAAATTATTGCCTTTCAACATACTCCTCAACATATTCATGATGATTCGATTCTTTTTTTCTGCAGTTCCATTCTGCTGCGGAGTTTAGGATAGCACCACCTCATGCACATTCTCATCTTTCTCACATAACTTGTCGAAGTCTTTCGACACATATTCTCCATCATCATCAACTCTAAAAAATTTGAGCTTTTGACCACTTTTTCTTTCCACCATAGACTTAAACTTGGTAAATACCTTAATTATTTCACTTTTCTTCTTGATCAGATAAGTCCATAATTTTTTACTAAAATCATCTATGAACGTGACAAAGTATTTGTTACCTCTAAACGAATCCACCTGGATTGGTCCATATACATCAGAGTATATGGCTTCGAGAATAACCTTCGAACTGCTTCCTTCATCCTTGCTAAAGCTATTATTGTGCTGCTTTGCCTGCACACATTCCTCACAAACCTCATTTAGAATGTCGATTTCTGGAAATTTTGAAACTATATTTCTTCTCTTAAAATTTGTGATGTCTCTAAAGTTGAGATGTCTAAGTCGATAATTCCAATCCACTAATATCTGCTAGCTGTAGTTGAAAGATAATTTTGCTCCATCATATTAAGTTCGATCTTAAAGGTTCTATTTTCAGACACGAGAGCCTTCAAGATTAACCTTCCATTTGCATCGACAACTATCATCATCTTATCTTCGATCGACATTTTGTAATTCTTTTTCGACCAACTGCCCTATAATGAGCAAATTGCTTTTCATGCCTAGTATGTACAACACATTAGAAATTACTGATCTCTTGCCATCTTTCCTCATAATCATAACATCACCAATACCTTCAGCTGCTAGAGTATTTTCATCGAGAGTTTTATGTTGACAAACCAATATTTCCTTCCATACATGTGTGATGAACATCCTGAATCCAAGTAATCATTGATCCTTGAATTTTTCTTCATCTATTGTTGTAACCATCAACAACATCTCTTATTCTTCATACTTTGCAAACTTTGCATCACTTTCTTGATTCTTTTGATTTTCTGGACAATCATTAGAATAGGGACCATATTTCTGACAATTGTAACAGTGAATGTGACTCTTTTCAGGCTTTCGACCACCACCTCTTCCTCTACCTCCAGCACTACCTCTTTGGTTGCCTTAGTATTGTTTTCTTTGATTCAATACGTTTTCTTCGTGCTGGTTTCCTCTACCAGTCAAATTATTCTAGCCACCTCTACCTTTGTTGTCGAACCACTTTTCTTTGCCTTTCTTATCTTTATCTAATTGAGCATGTAGAGTCATATCACTCTTCAACTTGCCTGCAGCTCTTTCATCCATTCTTTGTTCATAAGATTCAAGCGTCCCTTGAAACTCTTCATTCGACAGAGTTGACATGTCCTTCGATTCTTCTATGGCAACTACCACATGTTCGAACTTTTGAGCCAAAGATCTCAAGATCTTCAAAACAAATACTATTGTTGTTAACGTCTCTCCATAAGTTTTAATTTGATTCACTAGTTTCATAATCCTAGTGAAGAAATCAGATATGCTTTCGCTATCTTCCATCTGAAGCAATTCATACGTTCTTTTGTGAGTTTGTAACCTCACCTCTTTCACCTTCTCAGCGCCTCCAAACAATTTCTTCAGAATTTCCCAGGCTTCTTTTGCAGATTCAACATCACTAACCTTTTTGAAATTGTCTGGGTTGACACATTAGTGAATTATAAAGAGAGCTTTATAATTCTTCTTCTTCAATTATATGTATTCCTTTTCATCTTCTTTTTCTGAAGCTTCTTCTTCAATCGGTTCTAATTCATATTTCACATGATCCCAAAGACCTTAAAAACAGAATATAACATTCATCTGTTTGCACAAATTCTCATAGTTATCACCTTTAAGAATTGGAAGACTTGCTGAAAAATTTCCGTTTGGCTCTGATACCATTGTTAGGGGAAATTCTGAGGGAGAATTCTTGGGACACACTTTTTGTTAGAGACACACCACATATCCACCTAAAACCTTAAGGTGATAGGTGTGCGGGTTCTCTCACTTATATAATGTTCAATCTTCTATTTTCTAATCAATGTGAGACTTCTTCCTCACACTTGTTTCTCAACACTCCCCTCAAGTATGAGTCACAATGCTCCCCCTCATGAGGAAACTCTCTTCCATATATACTTGTACCACCGTTGACACTCTTCAACGGAACACCTTCTACCCACCATCCACGGGAAGTGTTTTGATACAAGTAAGTCGGCCCTTATCTCGAAACCAAAGGCTCTGATACCAGATGTTGGAAATCCACCAAAATTTATGATGAATTTCTACCAATCTTGATGAACAAGATTGATATCACCACACAATGATAATGGATTATATGAAAAGAAAATAAAGAAGACAATAATTTTCTACAGAGTTTCTCTCTGCCCACAAACTGTGGAAAACTTTATTATTCACTTGCAGCTGCAAATTCTGTGAATACAATGAATTGACTTGATTACAAAAATAAAGATTACTCCCTCTATTTATATATTTAGGTTAACTCGCTCCTTAAGTCAAATCCCAAAACTATGAAAGCCCAAAATATATATTTTGAAACCAAACCAAATCAATCTATTTTAGACCTAAATCAAATTTTATCTATTTTAGATCTAAAACAATTCTGTGTTAACAAATTGTTTCTAAATTTCTAAATCAAATCAAATTTTTTCGACACTTCCTTATATCTGTCGAGCAAACTGCTTCGACACAAAGAATTATACTTTCAACAAGTATTTCCTCCAGCATAACCGTGTAAAGTGGAGTCACCCAACTCTCCTGAAATTGTGTAAAATGAAGTTGCGATTGAATCAAAACCATTCAAACTCTAGACGCTGATATTATTAAACAGATAATTCATTTGATGAGTTAAAAAGTTGCATTCCATTAGTTCTGTTGCAAAGTGAGTAAAAACAGCAGTCAAGCAAGCAAATCTATAACGATACTAAATTTAAGTACTATAGAAGAATAAGGCTCAAACCTCAAATAGTTTTATTAACAAAGATAACTAAAAACCTAAGGTTCTTACCTTTACTGCAAGGAAGATTGCTCTAGATGGTGTGTTAGAGAATGCCTTTGGAAATAATTCTCAAATATTCCACCATAGTTTAACAATGGTCCCATATTTCTTAAAAAATATTAGAAAAAGATGCTTGAGTACTTTCTCAGCCACATCATTTGTCTGAAAGATCAAATAACCAAATCCAGAATTAAGAATCTTTCAATAAATAAATGAAATATTGAAACAATCAAAATAAATGATACCTAAATCTCACATATCTGTAACTTATAAGTACCATATTTGTTCTTAGGTTTTATTCATGTGTAGTTCCTATTCTTCACTTCACTGTATACTCAAAATCCTTAGCCGGCAACACACAAAAAGATATGATTGAAACAAAGTTTCACAGGATTGTGGGTATTTTGTTGTTTTAGTTTTCAATATAAAAAAGAATACACTTGGATGACTATTATCTTACAAGATTATCAACATTTATCCTTTCCGCTAAAGATTTGACCACACAAGCAAAAATGTTTGCTATAAGATACTCTAAAGATTAATAGATATTTTATCTCTGTCATATGGACACTTTTTTGAAAAATCATTCCTTAAATTTTTTTTCCCACTAAGATATGATCATTTTTTGTTTTAATGCTTACAATAAAGATATATAATACATGATAAATTTACAATATTAAAAAATAAATCATTTCAATTCCATAAATCTCTCTCACACTTACATATTTAAGTATTTAAACAAGATGATCATAGTCTCCTGGCTGGGCGCCCCTTTCTCATTCTAAGAGTCTTGGATTCAAACTTTGTTGGGATCAATTTTTAAAATTTTGGTTTTACTATTACACACAATCAATAAAGTAATAATAAAAAAGCCAACATGAATTTAAAAAATTAAATAATTTAAAAAAGCCAACTAAGCTTCCACATCAATAAAAAAAATAAAAAATTATTGTCACGTCATAGATTCTGATTACTAGATTTCTTGAGAGGGAAAAACATGAGAATCTTCATTTTTGTGATTTTTTTAAAATAATTTTTGGATAAAAAATAAAGGAGTTATGAATTTTTAAAGATAAATAAATTTTAAAATAATTTTGTAAAATATAATAAATTAGAAATAATATGGAGCGTTAGATTCAATTCATTAAAACACGCTGGCACATCAAGTAGCTCAGAAATAATGATGTATGGTGGTCAGTGAGGCAACTAGGAAAATGAACAATTAAGTCGTCATTGAATGTTATTTATCCTGAAGAAGGGAAAGGAAAATATCGAGTAAACCTGAGAGAAAATAAGGTCTTGCGACCAAGAGAAAGGATACGGGAGTCGATTATGCAAGGGGAAAATATTAACACCCCTCACGTCTGTGGTACTCCACGAGATCCACTCTTGTTATTCTAATCAAAGAGTGTGTTTAAACTACGCTACAACTACAAGCTAAGGGAAATGCATGAGAAAATTGTACAGGGAAAATAAAGGTTTTAAATAGTTATGCTCGCTTAGGCCCTACAACCTAATGCTTATGTATCTATTTTAAGGAATCAGAGTGTCATAGTTCGACTCAAAAGTTTTGGTTTGTTTTGTGTTTTTTAATGAACGATGCTAATTTCGCATTCTACTGCCACTCGACCTTTGGAGACTCACATATTATCGTAGAAAGGAACAGACATGTTCTTACCTGAAAATGTTTTCTTAAAAGAAAGGCCCGAAGGCAGCCCGGAGGAAAAAAAGTTTGAATTGGTTGAGTATTTTTGGTAGGAGATCTCTCAAGTGGTCCTCCAAAAGGTACTTGAATCCATTTCCTTTAAGTTTTGAAAATGTTTGAGACATGTATCATGCTAAAGTCTATGATATGAAGACTCTTGGATGATCGAGTCAGATGCCTCATATTTAAAGTCCTCTTCATGTATTAAGGCTCGTGGCACATCACACGTATCTTTACTTATTAAGTATTTTTGAATTTTCTTAAGAAAGAGTTTTAGTTTTAGAATGCAAAAGAGGAATGAAAAATCTAAGGGAAATTATATTCCTAATATTATCATACAATTGTGGTCATATAGTTAGGATTGAAAGGGAATTCTATCTAATGTTAGTATGCATGGTTTAAAACCTAATGTCTACCTTGATTCAAGAATGAAACAGGTGAATATAAGGGACTATACTAAGGAAATAACAAGAATGTAAACAATAAATAAGATGACTTACAAGTATACCAAACACCTAATGTATTACCTAATGAGCAAGCAATGATCAAACAAGCCTAAGTCATAATGCATACTTTGAGTCATCAATCAAGTAGCACAAATGTGTTACACATAAAACACTAATGTTCCTCTAAGGATCATGCATAAGTGGTTCTACCTTAACGCATTACAAACCAAGTCAAAATAAATCAATAATTTTACTAGCACTAAAGGCTTAAAGTATAAGGATAATATCAATGCTTAACATATAAAGATGATAGGACTTAGGCAAGAGGGAGACTTAACTAAGGCAACAAGTATACATCCTAAACTTCATAGAAACATATTCCAAAATATGGGAGAATAATTGCAAAGGAATCATGCAAATGAAGGATAAAGAAACTATTCAAATGTCAACTAGTTCCTAGAGTTTACAAAACTATTCCTAAGAGAACATGAAAGAAATAACGAAGTCGTGAACTCAATTCTAATTGAATGACTCGTCGAACAACACTAAATAAAGGAAAAAAATATAAGCATCAAAAGAAATAGCTTAAAATCCAACCAGCACCTTTGCGTCTAGCGCCAATGCCTGGATACCTCCAGAACTTCAGATGCAGATGCATGAAAAAAAGGTAAACGAGATCCAAGTGGTACATAACAGAGAAGGTCTGTTGCCTATTTAAAGTCACACAAGCAATAAGAAAACTCTACCAAAGCTTCCTTGAACTTCCTTGATGAAGATTATGTTCTTAATTTACTTCGAAACCTCTGAAATTCCTCAACAACATCATCCCATAATCGTGCCAACACATATCATGGATCGAGCACCACTATCACACACAAAAAAAAAATTAATAATTAATCATAAGGCTTGCGATGAACCTAATTCCCAAGGCATCTTTCAAGCAATTTTATATAATTATATGAGCTAAAAATTAATGGAAATATTTTAACTAGACAACATCAAGTACATGACACATTTCAACCAGAAATATATAAAAAAATCATACGAAGAAAATTGCAACAAATCAATAAATTAAATTGCCAAGAGAAACAAATAAATGAGAGTAGAAATGAATGAGGCAGGGAGTGCCAGAATTTCAGGAGGTGTCCAGGGAAAGCCTTGGGCGCTAGGCCCATTTCAAGAAGACCCAACCAGTATTTTTTGTTCACCAGCTTTGTGATGTACCCAAAAGAATGCCATAGGCCTAGGCAGGGTGATTGTGGTTCGGTCCAAACCTCAAATGCTGGCACGTTGTTTAGAAGATGATTAGGGTTGCAAATTGAGACAGTTCATCTTCTCCCAAAGGTCAATGTTCTTCCTCTTTCGGCAATCACGAACGGTGCTCTCATGTGATCTCTTCCTTCTTCATACTTCCATCTCCGCCATGACAACCTTCCCTCCGCCGCGATCTCACTATTTCGAACCTCTGCCTTCTCCTTCTCCTATAAAAAACGTTTCCTCAAAAACCACCGGAGTACCACCGTCGGCCCTTCAATCGCGAGGACGACGACGAGAAAACAACGAACAAGCCTTTTCCAGAACTCAGGTACGTTCTTGTTTTATAATTCCTCTTCTCTTATTCCCCGATTTCTTCTTCGATTATGTGCTTTCTTGCATTTTTGAACTGTTTGTTATTGTTCTTGAGTGGTGATGTCGTTGATGAAGATTGAACAACGATGAAGATAATGATATTATTGCGGTGTGACGGAAAATGAAGCGGTTACGAAGATCTTGCAGATGAAAATGATGATTGAGATTGAAACCAGTTGAAGGTGCAAGATGATTGGAGGATATGTTGTGCTGTGAAGTTGCGCTTGATGCAGATTGAAGATTGAAGCAGCTTACAGGGATTTGATGAAGATGAAGAATATGCAGAGATGCGGTTGATGATTATGCCGCAGTTCAGAGAGAACTCAGAGGAGAGATTCAAGGTCAGTTTCTTTGTGATTTTCTGTGGATAGTTGTATGCTCTGAATAATAATCGTTATTTTGTGCGAATAATCTGAATAATGTATCCTGTGAATCAATCGTGAATCCTCCCCCCTAATAAATATGAACTATGTTATATATTTGTAGAAGTTTGTTGTGATTAGTACCTCTGAGCCCTTGGATTCAAAAGTCGGTTAGAAGATCAAAGGTGGAGATTGAGAACTTGAAAGGGAGTTAGAAATCAGTCATGGTTAGTTTGTTGAGTTGTTAAAAATCAATTAGTATTGAAAAAATTCCGAGCCATCAATTTGAATTTCTGTTATGTGAATTTGCTATGTTGAACTGTAAATCTATTTTCCACAGTTTCCCCCTGATTTTTCTGACAAACTATCCTTTGCTGATTTTTAAATTCCAGCCATTTTCTGATTTATTCCTTCTTTCCTTTTTCTTCTGATTTCTTGATTTAATTCTGTTCTCAATTAACTGGATGTGGTCATTTCAGAACTAATTTAGTAGATGTAGTTAACTGGTTTTAATATGTATGTGCAGGGCTGCAAGTCGAATTTAACGAGTTTTTTGTGTGTTGAAGTGGATTTGTTTGTGAACAGGTGATGAGGACAAAACGTGACCCACATACAAGCTTTTAGCTCATGGACCCTTGACTGTAGAAACTTAGAAACTAGAGATAGGTCTTCATATTTATGTAATTTTCGGATATGGTTGTGTTGTATGGATGTTTGTACTTAACTTTGAAATTGAATTTAAGCTTGGAAAAATTGAGTTTTGACTTTTGAATAATGGTGAAAGGTGTAATGTCTTTTGTATACTTGCAATGAACAAAGTTTCTTTTTCAAATGAATTTGAATTCTCTTCCCCTCTATTTGCTTCTATCGAAATCCAAATCCTTTTCAAATTATTTCTCAACTACAACTTGAATTCGTAACACAAGATAAGATAGATGTATACCCAAAAGACTCATATATGACTTTGGTCCAAATTTTAGCAATTAGCTTTTAAACTCAAAAATAATCCAACACTAACACCTTTTTTCAAATAGAATCTTTGAGTATAGTTTAAAACAAATGACTTATACCATTAGCGATGACAACAATCCTTAATTTATAACCAAAGGCCGGGTGTCCTTTATTTCACGGGAAGAATGCTAACCAAACTGGTAAATTCAAGCATAAGAAGTGAATTTTAATGTGAAGTCAATGAGATACTTGGTTGAGACCATAACTCTCATAAATAGTGAAAGCCTTGATCCATGTAAAAAAGCATTGTCATGTACACCTCAGATCATGATTAATAACTTATAATAACAGTAATGGATGGAGTCCTTTGAGTCACCACACGAATAGGAAAATAAACTATAACCCGAGACCTTGGTGGGTTTTGGTGGAGCCCTTGTAGCCTGATTAATAAGGAAGTCCATGATGACTATAAACTGGAACCCTAATTCCATACTTCATTGTTTGAAGACGAAATAGAAGAATCAGGTTTATTTGATGTAGAAATTTCTAACCATTGTGAAACCCTAAAGTGGAGATGAGCTTGAGAACCCTTGAAAAGAATGATGAACCCGAGACTTGAGATCATAACCATGATAACGATATTTCAACCTTGCACTGTCTTGAGTGCCATAAACTTATTTTTTAAAATGGGGAAAACCCAACTCATAAGAATCCTTGACCACATACCATATAACCAATGATATGCATGCATACATATGAAAATGAAGCACAAGCCTATTGAGGTCAATAAATAAGAGGGGAAATTTTGGGGTGCAACACTCAGGAGTCAAAGTGCGTGCAGGAGACACAAAAAAGTCAAGTCAATGAAAACATTTCAATTGGCACGCCCTCATTGGTTGAAGATGACACATTAGTCATCTTCAACCTCCAGACGCCTGCAACTAAAGTTAAGATCATTCAAACTGTAAATTTACGCTTTTATAGTGGTACCATTAGATGCGTCTATTCAAGACAATCTCAATCATATGCTCACAAAATATTTATATAAAACCTGGCTTAGTTGATTTGGAAAATACCATACATGTTTTGAACTGAAAAATTCAAAAACAGACCTATCAAATGGATCGATTAAAGAAAACCAACGATTCTATGAGCATCATAGAACCATGAGCTACATCATGACAACAAGTTTGAGTTAGTTTGGTGAAGAATTCTACCTGAATGAAGCAGAGAAAATTTGCGCTAAACTCTAACTTGGTGAGCTTGATTTGAGGCACGATTCTTCAGGCTAAAGGTCCAGTCAGCTTCAATGGAGTTCAATAAAGCTAACTGTGAGAAGCTTTTGAGTGTTTGGAGGGTGGAAAGAAGAAAACGAATTTCAAGCTCAAGAGTTCAAACATGATCTTGGTAGGGCTCACTTGGCTATCAAAATCTTATCGAAATAGGTGGAGAATGGTCCTTATTTATATCTGAGATGAATGGAAAGCTCAAGCGAGTGAGATGATGAGAAATAGAGGGAATTCGTGTGAGCTCGATTCATGGAAAAAGTGTGACTTCACATGACCAAAACTCAAGCTAATTGTGCATTTTAATGATCAAAATATCTTTTAGAATGTTGCTAAACATGATTAGGCACGAAATGGAACCTTAAATGGGCTTGTAATTTGAATTAGCAATGTTCAAAATTCGTGTCATGGCAAAGAACTCAGTTTCAAATGACCATATTCAAATCCATGGGGCATGCTTTATAGGAAGCTTTATGTAATGATTATTTTTGGGATGGATAAAATTTCTCACAAGCTTCATAATGTGAAAAGAAAGGTTTCATTTGGAAGCCTGAGCAACAATTTATGTCTCTTTGAAGTTGGAAAAAACTCACTGAAATTTATACTTAGAAAAAAATTCTAAGTATAGAATCTCAAAGTGACCTATAATGTCTTGCAAAGTTACATGACCTTCTACTCCAAATTAACTCTTGATCATTGAATATGAAATGAAGTAGACTCTACAAATAGAATTATGGAATTGGAATCACTCAAAAACTATAAACAATTAATGAGTTATGGTCTTTGAAAGTTGATGAAAACTTCTTGAAAATTCCATGGATGACCTATGGTGTCTCCTTTAGTTCCATAACTTTCCAACCGATTTTAGATCTTGCACCTTGTATCAAAGTTGTAGTAGATATCCCAAAGATTGTTGTAGAAAATGAATGATCTTAAGGAGATGAAAATTGACCAAGTTATGATCTTTTGAAGTCAAGTCAAAGATTTCAATGGTTTTCTCAAAGGAATTGCAATATGTTCACACTGTCAATGATTCTCCAAGCATAATTCGCTCTTATCATGTGAAGAGAAATTGTTGTGGATGATGAGAAGATTACATAGAAAAAATAACCACTTCAAATTATTGAAAATTGAGAGAGTTATGCATTTGAGACCATAGAATCAAGGACTTGCCAAATTAGGCCAACAATCTTGAATCAACTTTGAGTCTTTTGAACTTTTCTTGCAAACTAAGACATAATGAAGCACACGAGACCTTAAAATGATGTTATTTTGAAGAAAACTTGATAGTAAGGCTCATAGCTTGATGAAACTTGTTGAATAAGGCATGGGAATAAACACACAAACCAATGAAGTTTCCTTATGAATCAAACCATAAAACCTTGAGATAAACTTATCCAAATGAAATTGAGAGATGATCAAGACATAGCTCTTTGATGATAGAGAATTTTTTTTTACAATTCAAGCCATTGATGTTAAATGAATAATCAACTGACTAAGGATTAATCTTTAAAATCCTAGCTCTAGGAGATGAGATAGATGCACTTGGCTCAACACCTACAATGTACAAAGTGTAAAAGGAAACACATACATATTTTTTTTTATTTTAGTTAAAGGTTAGTAAACATGATACACACATATATAAATTACACAATTTAAGGTGCTTGGTGATCCCTTAAGGAAAAAGGTAAAGATAAGAGAGAGTAGAAGAAATAACCCACACAAATGTGTGATCTTAATGTATTGTGAGGATGTAAAATGATGGAGGATATTAGGGGGAAAATTGGGATATAACAGCTTCCCTTATTTAAGTGTCTTTTATTCGAATATAGGAAGGTTAAGATCTTCATCTCGACGCGATTGAATATACTTAAATACAAAAATAACCATGTTTTGGCCCTAAGATTCCATGCAATGTTTATGAATATGAATGTTGCATATATAAAAAATAAGGAGGAAACCCATAGGGGAAAATAAGACACCACTGAGGGATAGATGATTCCACTATACTAGGAAAAATGTGTAATTGGGGGAAACCCAAAATCACATATTGGATAGCGAACAAAATATGATTCCAAGAAGGGAATTCTTAACAATGCGAGAAACAAGATCAATAAAAAAAGTAATCTTGAGAAAAGATTACCAACACGACTGGGGAAAAAGACAATTCAACTCTGTTGGGGTAAATCCCAAGGAGGAGAAAGATAACATCATTTTTGATAAATGAGAAAAATATCGACTCACGGATGATAGTAAACTACCAACTCAACAGGTGAAGGTAGGATCTTCATTGATAATAATAAACTTCCCCACGCTTCGGGCGATAAGCCATGAACGTGTATTGATTCGCATAACAA